ATACTATATATATATATATATATATATATATATATATATATATATATATATATATATATATATATATATATATATATATATATATATATATATATATATATATATATATATATATGTATGTATATATATGTATATTATATATATTATATATATATATATATATATAATATTATACAGCATTTGCCAGGGATGGGTTACACAATGTAATATTCCAGTAATAAGGGGTGAATATACCAAAGTATAAGCAATGGCGGGTGATTAACGAAAAAGTAGTGTGAGCGGGGGAGAAGGGTGGGTTTCGGTAAAACAATTACCTGGTGGGCCGTGTTCCTATGAATGTTTGACCGGCACCAGTCTGGTAGCGATCCGCGACCAGTTGACTCAGGTTTTCCCAAAGGGTGGTGGTGAAGTCTTCGTTGTGAATGTTTTGTTTAGTTTCGTTTTCGAATCCTTTTTCCGAGCTGAATGCGTCGGGGTCTGTTTGAGTTTCATCTTCCGGCTGTTTATCTGAAAGTCGATAAAACACCCAAGATTTAAAGTCAACTGCTGTACGAGATTTATCGGCTTGCACTGCAGAGGTAGTGTTTTCAGGGACCACCCTTAGCATATATATTCACGAACAACCATGCAAGTTTCTAGGTCAGCAAGAAAATAGACTTTGATTCTATATCCTATAGCGTACATATTAAATAAAGTTTGAACGTATACTATCATGCAAACATCGCTGCGGCCTTACCCGGTGGGGGCTGCTGCACCTGTTGTAGCACATCCGGATCTGCCTTTGGTTCGATCCTTGTGATCTCCTCTTTCGAAGCCAAGATCTCGTCCTTCTCGTCATGACCACGGTTCTCATCCTTGTCCACGTGTAATTGCTCATGGTCGTCCACGCGCAGGTTATCTATGGAGTGATTGTATTGTGGGGAGTGTATATGGTATTCATTAAGTTATATGCTCAAGTACTATGAAGGCTATCTATGGAGTGATTGTATTGTGGGGAGTGTATATGGTATTCTTTAAATTATATGCTCAAGTACTGTGCAGGTTATCTATGGAATGATTGTGGGGAGTGTATAGGGTATTCACTAAGTTATATACTCTAGTACTGTGTAGGATATCTATGGAGTGACTGCAGGGAGTGTATATGGTATTCGTTTAAGTTATTTGCTCAAGTACTGTGAATTTTATCTATGGAGGGATTGTGGGGAATGTATATGATATTCATTAAACTATGTACTCAAGTACTGTACAGGTCATCTACGGAGGGATTGTGGGGAATGTATATGTATTTATAATTTTTTATGCTCAAGTACTGTGAAGACTCATGAGAAAAGAGAGACGATGTTAGTCGCGTATAGTATAGTAGCAAGGTGACACTCACGAAGATAAGCAGGGGTGTAGAGGCTAGCTGATGAACAGTACGTTCTCGGCTCAATATCCAAAGCTGCTATTAGTACTCATATGCATCAAATTTTAGAGAAAATAAGTAACGACACACCCTCAACCATTACAGACTCAAATATCATCGCTTGGACTAATACCACAACGGCAGATAAACGTACAACGTGGCCGAGAACATGTCAATGTGCTACACCTGATGATCATGCTCCTCAACAGAAAAGTCAAAGTAGTCATCACGGTACGTTTCGCCTGACAATGACAGGTCGTGCTTGTAACTGATGTGAATGCATCTGCTTACATGCTAAAGTACTGGGCCCATAGAATGCATCCAAATCCAATTAATCGCACATACCGGTAGAAATAGTACTCTTCGCCAGTTCGGTATCTTCGACCTTGGAATGGGGAATGTCCACAGTGAAGGCGTGCGGCAACCGGAAGAAGCGATAGCCGCCAGCGGCCATCTCGTACACTTGCTCGGCGTAGTTACCCCCACTGTGTAGGTATTTTGAGTAGGGTTTTTGAGTAGATATGTTAGTGAGAAGTACGAGTTAAAGTACGCTAAAAAACATTGTCTCCACTGTGCCGGTGGAAGTTGTATATATGTGACATCGGGAACGGAAACGATATGGAATGGTTGGGTTGGTCTGTGATCGCACTCGTGACAATGATCATTGCATTCATAGCATACGGAAGTATTGCGACCCAATACATAGCCTCGTAAAGTAAATGTTATAGGAGGCTATGTCAAATAGGGGAATTAAACCCCTAAACCCTGGTAGGCACGATGAGGCGTACTAAATTTAGGCAGGACTGATGACGTCAGCCCTGCCCCAAAAGATATGCCACACACCATTTATCACGTTTTGGAGTATAGTGGAAAGCTGTACCGGTACTCGTACTACTAGTTTCTGCTGTTTCTGTCAACCTGGTTTGCATCAGAATGGAGACAGAGATTGTGTAGGCCATCGGACTATCGAAAGGTTAACAAAACCATGGAACACTCAGACTTATATGCACACCGACTCGCACCTTACAGACCCAATATATAAGGAATAACTTAATAAGGTACACACACCATACGCATGTAAGCACACTAACACACGATTGGTGCATCCGTGCGGGACTTTAAGCAGATACATCTGCATACACGTTACGCAGGGAAGCTACAAATGCACACATACATGTCACACACACACGTAGTTCCGACCAGGAAAGAGATCGACATCTGGCAGTCATAACGTCCAGGAAGCATACATAGACAAATTTTAAAACAAAACATACCGGTTGATGAATGTCTCATCAAAGTACGGAAGAGATTTGCGGGCGATGTAGTATGGTTCAAAGCGGGTCAGGTAAGGAATCTCGGTGACCTACGGTAGAGATAGTGACCAGTGCGGTAATGCTGAGTAGCGGATTGACAGACTGTCAGTGGGTTTACTAAGCGTATATTGAGCTCACATTGGTGACCAAGTAATACCGATACTGTACCAAACGAAAGTGGAACTACAGATGGCGGATACGCACGCCGCACGAGGCCGTGTATGTGAAACAAAGGACGATGTACATAAAATAATAAATGTGAGAAAGACAAAGAGAAAAATATTTCCGAGTAACCACAACTGAATAGGAGAGTGAAAAACACTTCTCTAGCCATGTGAGCAATTCACATGAAGCTTCAAAGCAGGAGTGCTTACGGATGTCCAATCTCAGGTACTCCTTACTCCCTACCTACCTTATTTGAGAACATCCAATCAAAATGGTTGGTGGCCAAGTACGCAGGGGCGAAGTACATGTGCATGGGCTGGGCCTTCCCACTGAGAAGATGCTCAACAACCTTTTCCTGCGGGTGCCAAGGGAGTGAACAAAGACCGGCTGAGTGCTAAACTACTGCACTGACCAGATGAGAAATTAAAGATTCGTTAAATATGAACCACTTCGCTGACCTCTGTAATGTGTTGTAAATGATATCAATCAAAAGATATCAGCTGTAAGTGATACCAAACAACGACAGAATACAGCCGCCAGCATGCCTTGCCCGTGCACATGGGTGCGGGCTTTAATTGAGCCACACGGGATATATATCGAGCAGTTATATCGAGCGGGCTATAACCGTCCACCTACCTTTGGCACAATAGGCCCTTTTTTGGCCGCAATTAGGTCTTCGTAGTGCCCTGCATTCATCTCCACAGTTGGCGGAATGAATGCATTTAACCCAGGACACTCTTGCGCCGACATGGTAGTCTGATGAACAGAAGGTGATGAGGCATACAACATGTGAGCTCTCTGTTTTTGACCGCATAGATGTCAATCACTAATCAAACCAACAACAATATATTATATACATATATAAAAACATACATACATACATACATACACACTTACATACATGCATACATACATGAATACATAAATAAATACATACTTACATACATACATACATACATACATACATATATACATACACACATACATACATACATACATACACCCACACACACATACATACATACATACATACATACATACATACATACATACATACATACATACATACATACACATATACATACATACATACATACATACATGCATACATATATTCAATCATTTGGGATGGCGGGGTAGAGATACGTATTTGCGCACAAACATACATACACACACACAG